GGGGGGGGGGGGCTGCTGCCCGCCCCTCTGTGGCCGGAGCCCCGACCGTAGTGGCCGACCTCTACAACTCTCTGCTTGAATTCACCATTTATCCGCCTGCTCCATAGCTGCCTACCACCGAGCGATGTCTTTCCCTTTTAACTCTGTACATTGGGGCAACATATATTACTTCGGGCCGGAAACTCTCTACTGTACCTACAGGTCACATAACGGGCCAACGGAAATACCTCCCGCAACATGAAAGCAAGATGCCAAAAAATATGTGCCAGCTACCCGTTTCACCGCCTCGAGCGCTCACGGCATGACTGTTTGGGTCTGAGCGACAGGAACAAGTAAAACCGATTCATTGGGGGGGGGTCAACGACATCTACGAGAGTCAACGAAGTCTACAACGACCCACAAAGTAGTGTGGGTGGATCATACAGAACAAGTATCAACCTCTGACCGAACTCGCTCGAGCGATGAGTCAGCCATGCCGTAGAGACGCGCTATTAGCCTTGCGCCGTACGCCCAACACAGGCAACACACACGAGGGCATCATTGAACCCCTTCCATGCAGCAGTCGTCGGGGGCACCGCAGCACTCAGCACCATCGACGGGTAAACCAAACACCGCGCCACCATAAGTTTCCTGCCTCGCCTTGATGACACAAGGGAGAAAGCCTGAAAGCTCAACGCCCCCCTAGAAACAAAAACACGTGCTGCCACCGGTGCCTCTGTCTCTACCCTCCCTTCCACACACGAACATCCCGCTACAGACTGGCGTATTTCACTGGTCAGCCTAATCGGTCAGACGGACAGCGCCGTCGATGCTAATCAAGAAGAAACACACACGCCCGCGCGCACCTGAGCGTTCGAAACTCCCGATTGAAGTTCCGAACACCATAACGAAAGCACAAGGACAAAAACGAACGTCGACCAAAATAAGTCAAACGAAAAAATCGCACCGCACCGGAACCAACAACACGGCACGCACCCACCACCATTCTGCGCACACAAGAAATCGGGGCCAACAGTTTCCAGTCTTGGAGAGTGGGACGACGGCGTCGAGATGCGGGGTCTTCCCACACCGACTGATACACTAACCGAACCAAGAACGTTGCACCACACATACAACAATGTATAATTTACGTCGGGGGTCGGAAAAAGGCATCCAGCGTTACACGGCGTGTTGGGGAAGAGGGCGACGAAGCCCGCGGTTGTCGAGGAGTCTCCATGGGTGCCGATATGGTGCTCGTGAGGCCCGGGTCCTGTATCTCCTCCTCTTCCTCCTCCTCCTCCTCCTCCTCTTCCTCCTCGTCTTCGCAACCGTAGGCCGCAACCTCTCCTCCTTGTCCCGATGCCACGATCCCAAAAAAGCTGGTGATGCCTCTCGCGGCCCCTGCTTCTCCGCTTCGAGCCTGGACAGAGAGCCGCGTGACCATGGCTTTCTCTAGCCGATCGCGCGAGCTGACGCTCGAGCCTTTCCCGTTACCGCTGCCGTTACCCCCGCCGGGGCCCAAATCACCGCCACTCCCGCTCCGGCTTTTGGTCACGTCCCACTCGTCCGGGGCGCAGAGGGACCCTCGAAGGCTGTTGAGCTCATCGCTGCCGAGGTCGTCGTCGTCGTCGTCCTCATCGTCGTCGTCGTCCTCATCGTCATCACCCTCATCGTCCTCGGAGTCGGCGTCAGAGCCTCCGGAGCTGCCAGAGTCCGACCACGGATCAGTCCGCTCGGCGCCGGTCAGGCTGTCGCAGTCGGAGAGGACGTCCTCGACGACGGGGTGGGCCCGCATCCCCCCGCTGTCCCCGCCCAGGAAGCTCACGAGATCCGGCGACACGAGCTCGCGGTCCGCCAGGATGGTGGCGAGCCAGGAGGCCAGGTGCACCTTGAGCTCCGTCAGTTTCTCCTCCCGCCGCCTGGCGTACATGACAGACCAGATGCCAGAGTCGAACCAGCTCTTGGGAGACACGGGGAGCGGTGGCACCCTCGCCTCCGCCTTGCGGCGATGGTCGCGCCGCGCATCTTCCAACGTTCTGCCGTCGTTTTTCTTGCTACTCTTGCCACCGCGCCTGCCGCCGCCGCCGCCGCCGCCGGCTGGTGCAGAATGCCAGCCCCCCGGTCCTTCTCCCGCCGCCGCTACTGCTGCTCTCTGCTGCTCCCGCTGTGCCGCCGCCGCTTCCGCGGCGAGGTCCGTGGCGGTGGCGACGAGCGACTCCCTCAGCTCGACGAACTCCGACATCTTTCGCTCCAGCGTCCAGGTGGACCTCGCCTGGGTGATGGCCAGCTCGAAGTACACAACGTTGTTGTCGCCCCCGTTGCCCAGCTGCACGCGGTGCCTGGGCACGCCGCACGACATTGGCTCCGCCTGCCCCACCTCCGACCGCCGGTGCCGCAGCAGGTCGGACGAGGACCGCGCCTGTCGGACGAGCGGCCCAACGGCTGCAGCCGCCGCCGCCCCCGCGGACGACGCCGCCGATCGGCCCGACGCCTGCGACAGCCGCTTCGGGGAACGCTGGCCGAAGGCGCGTCGGTCATGCGGCTGGAGTCGCTGCGAAATCGACGCCGCAGAGCTTGCTGATCTCCGATGATGGCGGTGGTGGCGGTGGTGGGGATCGCGCCCGCCGGTCGTCCTCCTCCTCGACGCCCGCAGCTCGGCGTTGAGCTCGGTGTTTATCTGCTGGAGGTCGTCCATGGCCTTCGCCAGCAGCTTGATGTGCTTCGCGGCCAGACCACCACCGTCATTGCCGCCCCCACCATGACCACCGCCCGCAAGTGGAGAAGTAGAAGAAGAAGAATCTGCCGCTGATCCTTGTCCCGCGTCCACGGGCCAAAGCTTGCCATCCCGACCTCCATGTTGATTACTCACTTCACCCTTGCCGTCGTCTGCTGGAAGCCTTTCTTGCAAGATCAAAACTTTCAGGGCCTCCAGCGTCCTGGCCGCCTCGTCGGAACGAGCCTTGAAGTCCTTCACCGATGTCTTGGGGTCCCGGGGCGGGCGGCGTTGCCGCGGCAAAACATACCTGCCCCTCCTCGGTGACGACGGTCCGTTGGGGGATGCAGAACCGACACCGTCCCCGCCTCCGTCAGGGGATGGTAGCGTCGCACCTCCATCCGCTGTGAAGCCCCCCCCACCGCCACCGCCGCCGCCGCCGCCGCCGCCGCCGCCGCCGCCGCCTTCTGGAGACCGCAGGCCCACAGACGTTGTCCCCGCGGGCCGCCGGATCAGCCCGCCGACCCCCTTCTCCAGCTCCGTGAGGACGTTCCACGACTGCTGGTGGCGGAGACCGCCGACGCCACCAACAGTGCTGCTACCGCTGTTGCGGCGGACGCTGGCGCCGCCGGGGCTGGCGCCGGTCGGCACGATCGCGGACGCTCTGCGGCCCGCCTTCTGCTGCTGCTGGGGCAGGCGATCGAAGAACCGCTCCGAGGCGCTGGCGCCGCCGGGGCTGGCGCCGGTCGCCACGATCGCGGACGCCCTGCGGCTCGCCTTCTGCTGCTGCTGGGGCAGGCGATCGAAGAACCGCTCCGTGGTGGTCCGCAGGTCGTCCTTGAGCAGAGCGATTGCGTCGTCGTCGTCCGAGAGGTCGAAGTCGCTGTCCCCGGCGAGGTTCGTCATGCGCGCGATCACCACCCCTGCGCTACTCGCTCCCGCCGGTTCGGCCGCTTCCGCCTCCGACGGTCCGGGGGATGACCACGACAGCAGCGATTTGTTGCCGCTTTCATCGGCAAGGGGCGTTTCCCACGCGAGCATGTTAGCCATGTCGCGGTGGAGACGCTTGATCTGTATGGAAGGAACGAGCAGCAAGTTACAGCCAGAGCCGCGTGGGGGGGGGGGGGGC